ACGTAGAGATATTCTCCGAAATATTAATATAATTTAGGGAGGTTTTCTAGTAGTTCTGTGCTACATTGTTGGAAACGGATTAAAATTCAAAGTGCAACTTGTATTGCTTACACGAGTTGTGGTGCTGTTCTTAATTATAATAGTGCCTGTTGCTTGTTACCTGCCGAGTTCACATACCTGTCATTTGCTTCTTTCTTTTGTTTAGTAATTGCTTCACTATACATAGTTTTTTGACGATTTACTTCACGTTTAGTTATTATTGTGGGATCGGTTTTATGCGGTTTTGTCAAAAATCTCAGATTGTCCTTCATGCACCGAAGATCACTGTCAAACCATTGTACCTTGTTAGACTTGCGTAGATCTGTGAAGATACGCGTTTTAATATTTAGACATTGATCTATTGCATCAGTAAAAATACCAACAAATTTCTCAAATTTCCACTTAAGATTCAAGTCAGCATCAATAACAAACTACCAGTCGAGATATTCCATGTTGGATCAAAATAAATTCCCCTTCTACTTATACCCTATTCGTCGACCATTTGCGTCCAGGCACAACAAAGATGCAGCGCGGCAATGCGACTAAAAACCAAAGTAAGACCGGCTACCCCTTATCACTGCGAATTAAATCTCATTGAAATGATTTGGGGAAATATAAAAAACTATGTGGCTTCAAACAATAATAAAAAATTCAAATTATCTGAAGTGAAAATTTGTTTTATGAAGCTGGCAACAGAGCGGCAGCAAAAGAGATAATTGAAACAACGATGTGGGATCTGGACCATATGATCGATATTCAAATTGAACCTGTAATAACACTGATCAACAGCCAAAAAATATCCTAAATAAAATCAACAAAATATTACTATTTTTAATGTGCTAAAACCGGAATGAAACTTATTTTTTCAATATTAGTTCAAGTTTTAGAGATACGGTATGTGTTCCTGCTGTGACAGTGTTAATATACTGTAATTCACAAGAATGCACGTGCTATATTTTTATATTCGGCAAGGAAAGATGATGTAATCGGCAGCGTTCATGCAAGATGTCTCGAAAGTGTGTAAACAATCCAGATCAGTTTTGTTACGTGTGTGGTGATGTGACTTTTGCGTCTCAGAGATGGTCTATTACTCCACTAATAACAAAGGCATATCAGCTTTATTTCGGTTGTAAACTAGGTGATCAAGACAAACAGTGGGCACCCCACATCTGCTGTAATACATGTGCTTCAAGTCTGAGGAGCTGGTTAAATGGCAAAAAACGGTCTATGCGCTTTGCTGTCCCAATGGTTTGGAGAGAGCCTACAAATCATATTAATGATTGTTACTTTTGCATGGTACCTTGTGTTGGACAAGCCACAGGTATGTCCAAGAAAAAAAAATCGGTTATTAACTACCCAAACATACCATCTGCGATGAGACCTGTGCCTCACAGTAACGAAAATCCTATTCCAAAACCCCCAGAATCCTACACTTGCGAATCAGAAAACGAATCAGATCATGGCGATCGAGTGATTCGTCAGGAAGAAGATATGCCGTCAACGTCAAGAGATCCTGATTTTATACCGAGCACGTCATGCCACCAACCGCACAAAATAACACAGTCAGAATTAAATGATCTTGTAAGAGATTTAGAACTTCCAAAATGTAAGGCAGAGTTACTTGGATCAAGACTGCAGCAGTGGAACTTGTTGGAAGACGATGTTTTGGTATGTGTTTTTCGTAAACGCCACAAAGACTTAGAACCATTTTTCAATATGGAGAATAACTTGGTTTTCTGCAGTAACATTAACGGCTTACTGGCGGCTTTAAATATAAACTATAACCCAGAAGAATGGAGATAGTTTATAGACAGTTCAACATTGAGTTTAAAGGCAGTGTTATTGCATATTGGAAATATTTTACCATCTCTACCTGTAGGGTATGCAGTTCACATGAAAGAATCATATGACAATATGAAGTACCTATTGACATGCATGAAATACGATGAGCACCAATGGCATATTTGTGGCGATTTGAAAGTTGTTGCACTTTTACTTGGGCTGCAGCTAGGCTACACAAAGTTTTGCTGTTTTTTGGACAGTCGGGCAAAGGCACTTCTACACCAGACAAAACTGGCCTGTTCGTCAATTCCTAGAGCCAGGTCAAAAAAATGTACAGCATATGCCATTAGTAGATTCGAAAAAATTTTATTACCACCACTGCATATCAAGTTGGACCTAATGAAAAACTTTGTCAAGGCATTAGATAGAGATGGGTCAGCTTTTCAATACCTGCGTCAGAAACTTCCAAGACTAAGTGAGGCAAAGGTTAAAGAAGGTATTTTTGTTGGGCCACAGATTCGAAATATTTTGAGAGATACACAGTTTGAAAACACTTTAACAGGTATTGAAAAAACTGCTTGGAATGATTTCCGTCTGGTGGTCACTAATTTCTTGGGAAATAGAAAAGCTGTCAACTATAAAACCCCTGTCAAAAATATGCTGTCATCGTATCAAAAGATGGGCTGTAATATGTCTCTTAAGACACATTTCCTACACTCACACCTGGACTTTTTTCCTGACAATTGCGGAGCCGTAAGTGATGAGCACGGCGAACGTTTTCATCAGGATATTTCAACAATGGAAAAAAGATACCAGGGAAAGTGGAATCCTTCCATGCTAGCAGACTACTGTTGGACTTTTGGTAGAGATGCTCCAGAAACGATCCATAAAAGAACAGCAAAAAGACAGCGCATATAGTGATTCTTATAAGTATATGAATCTTGTTACTTTTTTTAATATATCCTTAAAAATAAAAAGTTTTTTTCTAAACCGCAACTAATTTTTTTATTTCATTGTCATTTTTGGATTCAGCGCCCCAAAATTAACAAAGAAGTGCACTTTTCCCACAAGATACAATTAAAAAACTAAAATTTGTTGTCCAGTGTAATTAATACTAACCATTCGGACGATGATTCAAGTACCTCCAGCGAATAAAAAATTGTGAAAAGTATGTATATAAAAATAATCATTTATTTTGTTAGATTATTCCAAGACCATTCAGGAAAATACGGACCTGTACAATCTCGCTTTTGGGCATGTCGTGCTTTGTCTGGGCGTGAATGAACTACGAATGGGGTATAGTGCGAATTCGTTAGTGGCGACTGAATTTGATCGTACTATAGGAATAGACGGCGCACGAGTCGTAGTAACCTGAACCGAAGCGAAATCAATTGTCTTGTCTCTTTTCTGGTAAGGTAGAGCGGCGAAGGGGACGAAACGAGCGAGGGGTTGAGGGTGGCTTAAATCGCTGTCGGTCTGTCTCGTATTACAGCATTACCATGGATGACTGTGGAGAGAAGAAAACCATTGGCGGAGGGATTAGATCGCACGTTGAATATCTGTAGAAAATAGTAATACAAGAAGTTGGTCTTTATTAAGTACGTACAGGTACATAGAGATATAACACTAGAGGCGACGTTTAGCCCTGGGCTATTCTTACACTTCCACTAGTGCGGAAAGGTATACAAAGTATATACATATATAAAAAAATATACAAAATCCAAGGTGACTTATGTCATAAAGCAAGGTACAATCATGGTACACATTACGAATTGTTACACCTAATAAAAGAAAAACAAGGAAAAAGAAGAAGACAAATGGTGGACATCAATTTCCTAAATTGGTATGAGGACAGGGGCGGCTGGCTCTTAAGTTCTGCTGAGGTGCAGAACTGCCAAAACTTTTGTCTTAACAGAAAAAAAAAAACAGTAGTAATTTGATCATTATTTATTTTCCATGTTATCACACAAATAGAAACAATACCGGCCTGCCCCCGCAAGACACGGCGTCGAGTCTGTTTCGTACCGAGAAAGCATTATAATCGACCAATTGTGTACTTGTCATTTTCGTCGCGACCGCAGCGTAACATTATTCATGAGCCACTTGAAAAGGGTCTGTGCACTACTTCGACACAAGCCGCACGCGCTTGCTTTTGTCTCTCTCTATAAAATCAGATGCGCGAATTAAGCATAAGCATGTGCTGCAATTTATACAGATCCGTACCGATCTAATGCGAAGTACGATATCTGATTGGTCGATCGGTTCTATAAAAAATAATCGATTATATAAAATTTTGCGGAGCATTTGAATTGGCGCTACGGGGCCACGATGAAACCGAAAGCTCCCAAAACGCGGGAATACTTCGTGGACTGATTAATTTTTCTGCTGAGCTTGATACAACCTTAAGCGAACACATAAAAATTGCTTCAATATTTAGAGGAACGTCGAAAGAAATACAAAACGATCTATTGGATTGTATTCTTGAAGTTTGTCATCAAGAAATAATAAAACAGATTAATAGAGCCTCGTATTTGGCGATAATAGCAGATGAAACAACGGACATTTCGGGGAAAACCCAACTGGTAACAATTTTCAGATACGTATTTAACGGCGAACCAGTAGAACGTTTTTGGAATTATATGAATCCCGAAAAATGAGACGCTAATACTATCACAAGACATATTTTTAGCGTCGTAGATCCATTAATAGGAAATTTTCCTAACGATTTCACAAAGCTATGATGGAGCCGCGGTAATGAGCGGACATAATGCTGGAGTGCAGGCAAAAATTAAACAAAGATATCCATTTGCTCACTATGTGCATTGCTATGCGCATCAGTTAAACCTGATTATGTCCCAAGCTGCTTTCGCAAATGCTCAAGTTCGGGTGTTCTTTGGGGATTTGAAAGATATTCCGGGATTTTTTAATAATTCTCCTCGACGCGTAGAGGTACTGAACAGAATTGTGGGGGAAAAAATCCCCAAGTCGCAACAACTCGTTGGAATTTTAATATTCGAACAATAAATGTAGTATTTGAGAACAGAGAATCACTCATTGAATGAATGGAAGAAATAGAAGAAAATTTCACTAATGAAACCGTTTGCAAGGCAGCTTGCGGTATTCGCCGTATGTTAACCTATTCTGTTTTCCTGTTTTGGTTGACATTTTTTCATCATGTCATGCCTCACGTCGACATCTTGTTCAACCAGTTACAGAAGAGAAAAACCGAGCCAGCTCAAGTTAAAACGGCTATCGATAATTTTGAAAAATGTATTGTCGATGTGAGAAATAAAATTAATAACATAATAAATGAAGCCAAAAGTATTTGCACGGAACCCCAAGGCAACAAAAGGAGGCGACGTAATAGTAGCAGTCACGATCACCGAGTTGCCGCATTAGAAGTATGCGACAATATAGTGAATTCTGCAAATGACAGATTTCAATTCAAATATCATTTGGTAGCCGCATCCCTTTTTTCCCCGAACACTTCGGAGAATACTGTGGTAAGTTTCCTGATGACAAGTTGGAAATTACCTGCTTGGCTTATCCCGAATTAGAAAAAAGTCGTTTAAAGACAGAGTTGTCTGTTATTTATGCATGGAATGATTGCCGAGATTTACATGGAACTCTGTCTCTTTTGAAATGTTTGATACAAAATAGTTTGTAGGAAACACTAAAAGAAACAAAAAAGCTATTAGAAATTATTGTTACAACTATATGTCAATATCAGAGGCTCAGCGAAATTTCTCAACATTGAAAAGAATCAAGACCTCTCTTCGAAATACTATGACCCAGGATCGCCTTACAGCGTTGTCGATGCTGTCCATTGAAAAGGAATTTATTTCGATCATGGAAAATTTAAACGGGAAGGTGCTGCCAAGAAGGAGTTCAGGATCGAACTGACATAAAAAATAGGTAAGTTCGGATTTGCAGAACACCTGTTTTATTTTGCCACGAGCCGCCACTGTATGAGGAGATCACATGACTTAGCATCAATGTAGTTATAGATACTAGCAGCATTGTATGTGAAACTGCGCTGGAATAAAGATGAATTAAGCTGGGGAATAGTGATTGTTCTTCTATGCATGATGGTTCTATTAACGTATGTCCTGAAAGTTTTGGAAAAAAATTCATTGAATTTAATTTTAACAAACGCAAAATAATATATAAGTTGTCTTTGGAAACAAAAGTTTGTTTACTTGCTTTACTGACAGTGACATTTATAATCCTTTGTATTTAACAAAGTGGCAAGAATGGTCGAGATGACAAATAACACTGATTTACAATGACTTACTGACCTGGGGAACAATTTTCATCGTTTTCGATTTCGTCTAAAGCTGGCAAAACATAAGGCAATACCCTTTTGTGGAACAAAAGTGACGCCACAGGGGAACTTTACGGGAGCGAACAAAGAGGGATGCGCAGGAGGAAGCAGCATGGCACTGCACCGGAAAGAATACACACCGCGAGAAACTATGCTTTTATTGATTTGCACTCTCGCTTTGCGATGGCGAAACTCGATTCGGCAACGGGGCTTCGATTTGACAAAGGGACAGTGTACATCACTTAAGAGGGCAGTAGCACAAGAAAAAATAACGGTGAATAATCCTGACTTTAGCATTGCCTAACGGTGAAAAGTGACACAACAGGATTTGATGTGAAGTGCTATATTTTGGAAAGGATTGGCACATGAATGTCATTGTTTACAGTCTTTATTATATCAATGTCTGCTAGCAGTATTTCTCGATGTTTGTTATAGTATATAGATATACTAAGTGACATATAAATCCGAACACCCAGTTTAAATGGTTTTATTTTAATAAGTACTTAATGAAGCATAATAAGTAAATGATAAAAATTTGAAAATGATTGCACTGCTTTAAAGCCCTTTTACCTTTAATAATGTGTGGATGCACCCTGATGTGCTACGCATTCTCCAACGCGCGTAGGCATGCTTCTGATCAGGTGGTCAAAGTCCTCCTGTGGTATCTCATTCCAGGCAACCACCAACTCCTCTCGACGTGCTTCTAGAGTCTGAGGAGGACGTTGCAAATTGAGCAATCTCCTACCCATCATATCCCACACGTGCTCAATTGGGGATAAGTCGGGAGATCTTGGTGGCCATGGTAACAATGTGACATCATTATGTTGAAAGAAGTCTATTGTGACTTTTGCAACATGTGGTCGGGCATTATCTTGTTGGAAAGTTGGATCTGCCAGGGTGTCAAGATAGGGTAAAAGATGGGGTTCTAGAACTTCGTGGATATAACGCTGCGCGTTCATGTTACCTCTGATGAAGATTAAAGGTAACCTGGAACCATAAGCTATAGCACCCCAAACCATAACTCCAACAGTGTGATGAACATGTCTTTCAACAAAAACTGTGGATTCCTCCTTTCACCAAGGCGCCTTCTAACCCTGGCACGACCATCGTGCATGCCTAAATAAAATCGAGACTCGTTACTAAAGACAATACTGTTCCATTCCTGATCCCAGAGTGACCGTTGTCTGCATCACTCAAGGCGATTACGTCGGTGTTCTCGAGTTAAAGGGAGGACCCAGTGTGGCCGGTATGAAAACAAGTCAAAACTTCTCATTCGTCGGTAAACACTTCGCATGCCAATAGGTCTTCCGTGTTCTGCAAACCATTCATTTGCAATGGACCTGGTAGTGGAGAAACGGTCCCTTAAGGCCAATAATCTTAGGCGGCGATCTTCACGGTCTGTTGTTCTACGGCGGCGTCCAGTGCCCCTTGCTCTTTGCGTACGGCCTTCTCGAAGCCACGCCTGACAACACCTAACCACAGTGTCTACACTTCTTTGCACTCTAACTGCAATTGCCCGAAAAGAAAGTCCAGCTTCCCGAAGTCCCACTATACGGCCCCTATCAAACTCACTAAGTTGACGAAATCGTACAGGTCTCCGTACTCTAGGCATCGTAACCGATCGTAAAGGATATCAAGAACCAAAATCCGCCAACGTTGATTCTTCACTGCGGCTGAAATATTCATTTTTAGAGCGTTAGTGAATTGAAAAAAGCAGTATAAAAACCGGAATGTCCAACTGATAAGGCTGAAAATTTTTTCACTTGTTATTTACAGTAAGATAAATACATTCACCAACTTTTATTAAAATAAAACCATTTAAACTGGGTGTTCGGATTTATATGTCACTTAGTATATGTGTTACAAAACAAGCATACATTTTTAACTTTAACTTCTGTAAAGAATTATTGTTCTTCCCATTCCGAATGGAAATGGTATGTCTTCATCTTCTGACTTCTCGGCTCATAGTGTTTTTAATTGCAGGCCAAGTGTAACCCAACCGTTGGACTTTCTGCCATTTAGACTGAGCGCACTGTCGCCGCGCCTTGCATATTTATTCCGTTCAAAGTAATCAAGATCGTTCTCGAACAGATCGCTCACTCCAGTGTTGCCGCTGCTTGTGTTTACTATGGAAATTTACACCATTTACGGAAGCTTCTATAATTTTGACACCTTTGCAAAATATGTTGTGAGCCACCAGAATTGCCTTTGCGAGCTACCGGTAGCTCGCGATCGACGCTCCTCCGTAGTATCGTTGTCATTTGTGCTAAATTGGCTCCTTGAACGTCCAGGTCCCATCGAGAGGCGTTCCTGTCGTCGACAGTGCTTTGTCAGCAAACGGTGCTCAATTAGCTCTCAGGATCTGGCAGGCCACTTAAACCCTCAATTCTCTCTCTGAAAGCCGGGTCGAAACAGTAGCCGCACGCTATCATTACAACAGCGGAGAGAGGAATAAGAGAGCGGTCTCGGTCTCGGCAAGGGATTACCCTCTTATTGCGCTTCGCAAATTAACGCCTATTCGGCTGTGCGGTGACACTCCCAGTCGAAAGCCAGCCAAGTTCAGGCTATTGTGTCTCTTGCTTTGCGGTGACGTTACGCGTTTGGGGTCATACTGACATGACTTGAATATAATGCAAGCACGATGAAAGATTTAAGATAGGATCGTCAGCACCAAAACAGCGTGAAATCCAAGATGAGTTGAAACGAGAATATGAAAATGGCGTCGCTGTACTTCCTCTGCACATCAGTTCATAAATGACTAAGTTAGGCGCAATTTAAATGGTTTAAGAAAAAAGATAGTTACGGCCTACTAAGAATGGGACGTATTGTATCTGTGATCCTATCCATCGTAGAGGCTTGCGGCAAAAAAAATTCTGACTAAAACAAACAAGAGAAAAACCTGTAAAATATTTTCAAGTTTTTGTAATGGGTGCTAGAGGGCGTAACTGCAATCTTCAATATAAAAAAGTAATGTTTCTGTGAATTCTGCTATTTTATCCTAACAACAACAAGTACCTGATATTTAAGGTAGAGGATAATGTAAACCTTTTTTGTTTGACAATGTTTGCTGTATATCTAAAAATAAAGTGGTGGGTGCTATTCACAGGTTTCCGTAAAAAACACCCTGTATCTTCGAAGCGGCCGAGTTGATTTTAACAAACTTGAGCTAGTCGAAAAAAGAATGATATGATATTTGAAAAATGGTCAATGTTCCCAACAAAATTCGATGCATAGGTATGATTTTTTTTAAGGAAAAGTAGCTGAATGATGTCTAAACTAGCTCGTGAAAACCGCATCTCGATATCTTGTTCGTAACCTAAAACTTAGGCCAAAGAAAACTTTATACGGAAAACCCAATATACGAGCCCCTTCTCACTTCAAACACAAATAATAAAAATGTAGCAGGGTGTTATAGGTTTAAAATATTAACAATGAAATGTGGATAATATATAGTAGAAAACAGCAACTTTATCACTAACTAATCAAATTTGCAGCTTAAAAATAACACATGTTGCAATTACAGCATATCAACCTATTTTCATTTCAATGCAAAATAAGTCTATAACGCATAGGTGGCTGTGAAAAATAAAAGCCATGACAATTGTTTTTATTAATCACAGCTGTCAGAATACGTTTAAAATAGTTTTGGGTAGTTAAGGTTTTCAAAATGAGTAGAGGAAAGATTATTACTGAGAAAATTCGGTTACTGATAATTAAATTATACTAAGTGACATATAAATCCGAAAATGGTTTTATTTTAATAAAAGTTGGTGAATGTATTTATCTTACTGTAAATAATAATAATAATAATAATAATAATAATCGTCTTTATTGACCAAAACATGGTACATTACATGGGGCGAGATTTAGCACCTGCTATTCCACCATCTAACCCCGAAAAAACAACAAGCGAAAAAATGTTCAGCCTTATCAGTTGGACATTCCGGTTTTTATACTGCTTTTTTTAATTCACTAACGCTCTAAAAATGAATATTTCAGCCGCAGTAAAGAACCAACGTTGGCGGATTTTGGTTCTTGACATCCTTTACGATCGGTTACGATGCCTAGAGTACGGAGACCTGTACGATTTCGTCAACTTAGTGAGTTTGATAGGGGCCGTATAGTGGGACTTCCGGGAAGCTGGACTTTCTTTTCGGACAATTGCAGTTAGAGTGCAAAGAAGTGTAGACACTGTGGTTAGGTGTTGTCAGGCATGGCTTCGAGAAGGCCGTACGCAAAGAGCAAGGGGCACTGGACGCCGCCGTAGAACAACAGACCGTGAAGATCGCCGCCTAAGATTATTGGCCTTAAGGGACCGTTTCTCCACTACCAGGACCATTGCA